AAAAAAAAAAAAAAAAAAAAAGAAGTGCCTGTCTCTGGTCTCTGCCAGAGGCTATGCTTTTGAAAGTGGTGGATGGCCACCCTGCAGGTTGTAACTCTTTATGAAAAATAAAGTTGCCACTGTGGCTCACACCTGTAATCACCCAGCACTTTGGGAGGCCAAAGCAGGTGGATCACCTGAGGTCAGGATTTCAAGACCAGCCTGGCCACATGGTGAAACCCCATCTCTACTAAAAATGCAAAATGAGCTGAGTGCAATGGTACACGCCTGTAATCCCAGCTACTCAGGAGGCGGAGGCAGGAGAATCACTTGAAGCTGGGAGGCAGAAGTTGCGGTGAGCTGAGATTGTGCCACTGCACTCCAGCCTCGGCAACAGAGTGAGACTTTGTTTCAAAGGAAAAAAAAAAAAAGAAAGTCAGGGGATGGGAGGAGAGCTTCAGGAAGAATAGCTAATGGATGCTGGGCTTAATACCTAGGTGATGGGTTGATCTCTGCAACAAACAACGAAAGCACGTGTTTATCTATGTAACAAACCTGCATATCCTACATATGGGCCCCTGAACTTAAAATACAAGTTGAAGGAAAAAAAAAAAAAGAAAATCTTGTCGGGCATAGTGGCTCACACCTATAATCCCAGCACTTTGGGAGGCTGAGGAGGGAGGATGGCTTGAGACCAGGAGTTCAAGACCAGCCTGGGCAACATAGCAAGACCCTGTCTCTACAAAAAAAAAAAATGTAAAAATTGGCCAGGTTACACCTGTAGTCCCAGCTACTTGGGAGGCTGAGGCAGAAGGATGGCTTGAGCCCAGGAGTTTAAGAGCGCAGTGAGCTGTGATTGCACCACTGCACTCCAGCCTGAACGACAGAGCAAGACCCTATCTCAAAAAAAAAAAAAAAAAAGAAAGAAAGAAAAGAAAGAAAAAAAGAAAGGAAAGAAGAAAGAAAAAGTATCTTTTCCAAATTTGTGAATTGTGTGATTTTTCAGTTAACCAGCTCTCAGGACTGGGGCCAGTCAGGCTGCTGAGTCCTGGCCACCAGAGTGGTGAGGTGTTGGGGAGGCAGAGGTGGCGCTTGTCTCTGTCCAGGGGTGGCCTGGCTGAGGTTTGGCTGGTCTGCGAGCATCAGTTTCCCCACCTCCATGGTGGTGCAGTGTGGAGAACCATAGGAGCCTGGTGCAGGCACCCCTCTGTGCACTGTCCGATGGTCCCCTCCCCCACGTAGAACCATGGAATCAGGCCACTGTCCGCCTCTTCTTTAATCTTGAACTGGAGGATATACAGGTTGAGCGGGTGGGAGAGTGGCCCCAGGCAAGAGGCCTGAGGAGGGATAGAGAGGCCCGTTCAGGGCCACCAGGAGCTCTGGGAAAGGGGGTCAGGGACGGGGCTCAGCCTCCCATCTGCCCAGCTGGTCCCTGCCACCTCTTCCACTCTCAGCTGGACTCCCCTGCCAGGGGTCCAGATCCTGCCGGAGTACTTGGTCCCCCAGCCATGTCCGGCCTGGACATAGGACCCATGGTGGGGCCGGACTTCAGCTCTGGGCAGAGCAGTGTCTCAGTAGCCTGCGGCCTCCCCACCCTTCCTCAGGTCCGAGACGGCATACACACAGGCCCCCTCCTGGGACACGGCCTGGACCACGTTCAAGAAGAAGGGCCTCTGGGTCTGGTTCTGGCCACGGTCTTGGAGTCCCCTCTGTACCTCCTGGAGAGGAGAGAAAGCAGGTTCACAGGGGAGGGCAGCTCAGCCCATCTCCCGAAGGGAGGGGCCTCTGCAAGAAATGAGAAAAATGATCAAAAGGCAAGACTGAGAAGAAGAGGGCCTGAAGACACAGGAAGAGGGGAGGACCTGATGGGAGCATGGAAGAGATCTAAAGGCCCATAGAGGACAAGGTCAGCCTCCAGGGACTATGTATGAAGGATACCACCCAGGCCTGAAGACCTCCAGATGCAAGTTCATGTCTGTTCTGGATCCAAGGACACCAGGGCCTTGAAGTACAAATCTGAGTTCAGGGGGCCTTCGATGAAGGACATGGCTTCTCAAGATTTAGACACTGAGGCCAGACACAGTGGCTCACACCTGTAATCCCAACACTTTGGGAGGCTGAGGAAGGAGGATCACTTGAGGCCAGGAGTTTGAGATCAGCCTAGGCAATACAGAAAGATCCTGTTTCTCCGAAAAAAAAAAAAAAAGGCAGGCATGGTGGCACATACCTACAGTGTTAGCCACTTGGGAGCCAAGGTGGGAGGATCACTTGAGGCCAGGAGTTTGAGAGCAGCCAGGGCAACAACAAAGCAAGACACCGTCTCTACAAGAAAATCAAAAATTGGGCTGGGCCCGGTGGCTCACACCTGTAATCCCAGCACTTTTGGAGGCTGAGGCAGGAGGATCTTTTGAGCTCAGGAGTTCAAGACCAGCCTGGGCAACATAGCGAGATCACGTCTTTATTAAAAAAGAAAAGAAAAGAAAAGAAAAAATTAGTCGGGTGTGGTGGCCCTGTGCTTGTAGTCCCAGCTACTCAGGAGGCTGAAGCAGGAGGATCCCTTGAGGCCAGGAGTTTGAGGCTACAGTGAGCCTTGATCGTGACACTGCACTCCAGCCTGGGCAAAAGAGCAAGACTGAAACCACCTTTGCAAAATCATGACTGAGACAGTGAGAGATCTAACTTAATCAACTCCATCTTGCTTCTAACCTCCCAGTTGTCCTTGTTCATTCCTGGGTGTAGGCTGAACTAACTTTGAGAGAAACTTAGTTTATAGTTTAAAACAAAGACAGTAACAGCCCTTTCCCAAAGCAGACCTCCTTCTTGCCTGAGCACTAGATTGCCTTCATAGGACTCACATTAGCCACAAGATTAGAAATTACGGTTTAGGAGTCATGCAGCTGAAGGCTACAAGATTCTGACCCTCCCTAAACTGCTCCTAAGATCAGTGTTGGAGATATTTTGCAGACCCTGCACTTGATGGATCAGCTGGCACCATCCAGATGGATTAACTGGCTCATCTGATCTTGTGGCCCCCACCCAGGAACCGACTCAGCTCAAGAAGACAGTTTCAACTCCCTAAGATTCTACGATTTCCCGGTTTCTGTGTGTGTGTGTCTGTTTTTGAGATGGAGTCCTGCTCTGTCACCCATGCTGGCATGCAATGGCATGATCTTGGCTCACTGCAACTTCCCCTTCCAGATTCAAGTGATTCTCTTGCCTCAGCCTCCCCAGTAGCTGGGATTACAGACGCCTGCCACTATGCCCAGCTAATTTTTGTATTTTTAGTAGAGACAGGTTTTCGCCATGTTGGCCAGGCTGGTCTCCCGACCTCATGTGATCCACCCACCTCAGCCTCCCAAAGTGCTGGGATTACAGGCGTGAGCCACCGGGCCCAGCCAACTCCCTGTGATTTCATCCCTGACCAGTCAGCACTCCTGGCTCATTGGCTTCCCCCAACCCACCAAGCTGTCCTTAAAAACACTGCACCCTAGCCAGGTGCGGTGGTCATGCCTGTAATCCCAGCACTTTGGGAGGCCGAGGTGGGAAGATCACCTGAGGTCAGAAGTTCGAGACCATCCTGGCCAACATGGAGAAACCCTGTTTCTGCTAAAAATACAAAAAGTAGCCAGGCTTGGTGGCACACACCTGAAATCCCAGCTACTTGGGAGGCTTAGACATGAGAATTGCTTGACCCCAGGAGGCAGAGGTTACAGATCATGCCACTGCACTCCAGCCTGGGCGACAGAGCGAGACTCTGTCTCAAAAACAAAACAAAACAAAACAAACACGAAAAAACTCTACTCCCCGAATGTTCAGGTAGACTGATTTGAGTAATAATAAAACTCCGGTCTCCCACCCAACCCAGCAGGCTCTGCCTGAATTACTCTTTCTCTATTGTAATTCCCCTGTCTTGATGAATCCGCGGTTACAAGACCTTGCCTCAAAAAATTTTCAAAAAAGACCTATGATCTCAACACACGATGTCAAGACCTTAGACACCCAGGAACCCACAACTTTAGGGCCCTTCTGGTGTCTGTTGGTGGAGAATTCAGCTAGGATAAGGACGTGAATACCCATGAATCCAAGGAAATTAGATCCCTAAGCTAAAGGCACACACAGTCCCACAGTGTGAGACACTCAGGGCATGGGGGCCTACAGGCTCAGACTCAAGACCCTGAATTTGTGGACTTCAAGGAAGTCAGAGACCAAAGTAGCCCTAGCCTTGTGCTTGTTCCTAAGATGCCAAGTACCTTGCCCGGGGGCTATGGTCCTCACGAACTACCAGTCTGTAAAGGGGCAGAGGTTCTAGAGTACAGGGACCTGTGCTACGAGGGCCCCGTGTTTCCAGATACCATTTAAGACTAATGACCTGAGAACTTGGCTGGGTGCAGTCACTCACAC